CGAAAGTATAGCTTTGCTGCCAATGTAGGCGTACAATAGAGAAAATTTACTAAGAGCTCGATATCTTCTCAGAAACAAGCCAGAAACCCGAACTTTTTTTACTATAGACATAGCTCACTATGAACTACAAGATGCGCGAAACCCCGACTGAAAAGCGCTCCGACACCTGGGAAGGTTCCCTTGTAAGTTACATAAAAAACCTACTATTACGGAATTTCAAAACAATGAACATCTTTTCAAGGAAGGACTGAAAGTTTAGCATTTTCCTACGAAACAAAGTAATACACAATGGAACGTTCTACATAAAAATTGTTCAGCTTTTTACAAGCTTTTAGAACATCAGATAATTTTCCATGAAGGATAGTTTCTTCAGATCAAACGACTTAAACAACTGGATGTTACGAAATTTCACCGTTTTTTAGGTTTGAATGGGAAAGATTTCAGAGTCTAACCCTCATATCAAGGGTGGTCCAGGTTTGCTGACTTGGTTTGTATAATTAATTTTTTTTATATTAAGAGACATTATTAAAAATTTGTCTCTATGATAAAAAGATGCAGTAAAAGACGCTTCACAAAACAGCCTATGATTGAATGTACCTAACTCATACCCATGTAATTACCAAACGCATTTTAAATATATCCAGATGCGTTTTTGTTGCAAATTTCGGCGTTCTGACGCGTTTCTGTACTGAAGACAGTGGTAACGCACCCATCACTGCATTTTTGAATGCGTTTAGAGATCGTGAATCGTTTGTACGTGTTAAGATATGTAGACGTGTACAAATACGTTCAAATTCTCGTTCAAAATGCGTCAGCACGCATTTTACCTGTTCATGCGTTAGAACCATGTTGAATAATTAAACGAGAGCGTTTTTCCTCCAATGAATGGTTTATATTTGATAGAATCGATAGAATGCGTTTCAGGAGAGACGTTTGCCAATGTGCTGTTTGCAGAAACGCGTTCAGATGCATTTCTTTTCGAAACGCTACAGGTCATGTTATTATAAAATTAGCCTAGTTGATGTAGATAAACACTTGACAAAGAAAGTTTCATGTAAACGAAAATGTGTACATGAGCTAAGAGGCATGCACCGCCTTTGAAACGCTACTACGATTCGAGGTGAGGCTTAATATCGTTTTATCATATCATATCGTTTGGAAGCTGGAAATTGGAAGAAAATGTTTTTTTTAATTCAATTTGATAGATGTGTAAGTCCTTATGTTGGCACAGATTCAACGAAAATGGCCATCTATGGAACTTTCTTTCTTATACATATCTTAACAATGATAGTTCAGTCATTTCTCTTTAAGTTTCCAAGTGGTAGAAATTACCTTGGATTTTCATAACTTCAATATATAGCAATTGAGAAGCACACAAATCGATCTAGAACTTGAACAACAATTGAAATGGTAGATTCTATAACACAATCTACCAATGCTTATCACATTCAAAATAGTGTGACAATATATTTTTGTTCAATTGTAACAGTGAGTTTTCGTTGCTGTCTTTAAGACTTACACAGTTTTCCATGTAAACATGAAAACAAGGGGGAAACAGCGGACTTCAAGACTGCAAGACTTCAAAAGACTTCAAGAGACTTCAACGGACTTCAGCCGCAGTGACTTCATATTTTCACAAGACTTCAAAAGACTTCAACAGACTTCATAGGACTTCAAATGACTTCACAAGACTTCCCAAGACTTCAAAAGACTTCAAAAGACTTCATAGGACTTCAAATGACTTCACAAGACTTCCCAAGACTTCAAAAGACTTATGAAGACTTCATTGGATTTCAAAAGACTTCATGAGACTTCACAGACTTCTTGAGACTTCACGGACTTCATGAGACTTCAAAAGACTTTATGAGAATTCATAAGACTTCATTAGACTTCATAAGACTTCATAAGACTTCATAAGACTTCACAAAACTTCATCGGACTTCACAAGACTTCGTAAGATTTCAAAAGACTTCAAAAGACTTCACAAGACTTCAAGAGGCAGATTCCGTGCGTATCAAAAAAACTTATAGAAATTAAATGAAACCTCTATAACATGCAAAAAAGCTTATCATTAAGTAAGGGTGTCATTTGCCATGTACTTTATAATAAATACAAATTACTTATCATTTAATTTACGCGTAAATTAAATGAAAAGTAAATATAAACTGACACTCTCATTCATAACGAAGTAACTAGCGTCTTCCGAGCACTAGGAACAGAATGATATTGATAAAATCAACGTTGAAAATATTATTTTCGCTGCATTTAACCGTGCAAAAGAACTAGTTAATAATTTGAATATATTACCTTCATTAAAGGAATGCAATGCTTGTGAACTTAATGGTTTAAGTAAAAATATATCTGATAGTATTAGATTCAACATTAATTCAGATAATTATTTAGCAACGGATTCAGATTCTTCATCAGATTCTGAATCTGATTATGATGATGGAGCAATGGAAAGTCATGAATTTTATAGTGATCTAATCAATGTGGATGAAGAAGATAAAGATGCGGCAATGACACAAAACTTTGATGAAATTAAAACTGAGAAAATAAATTTTACTGGTATGCGTATATTCGATTCGATTAATCCAGCAATGAAAAACTCCTATTTTCAAGTGCAAATAAATAACAAGACTAAATTTATACACAAGCAAACGGCTTGTTGGTTATTGGCCGACAAAGTTAGCCGCTTATCGGCTGATAGATTATCGCGAGTGATAGAAACAAACAAAAAGGATTGAAAATCTTCATTAGATTGATCTGGATAGATGGAAAATTTCTTATAAAAATAAACCACTTCATTCAAAAAGCATTCACTTATTTATTATCATATTTTCTAAGATCAAACAAACTTGAATTTTTTCCAGTGCATTAAAAAAAACAATAAAAAGTTCACCTTTCTACTAAAATAAGACCGTCGAAAACAAGACGATTTCATTGGTTTCTTGTGAATTTTCATGCACGAAATGTATTTCAAAGCTTCCAGAAGACTTCTAGAGACTTCAAGAGACTTTAAAAGACTTCAGGAGACTTCATCAGACTTCAAGAGACTTCATCAGACTTCAAGAGATTTCATCAGATTTCAAGAGACTTCATCAGACTTCATCAGACTTTAGGAGACTTTAGAGACTTCAAGAGACTTTATGAGAATTCATGAGACTTCAAGAGACTTCGAAAGACTTTCAAGACTTCATGAGACTTCAGTCGTGAAGTCTCCGCTGTTTCCCCCTTGCATGAAAAGTAAAATTGATGGATCTCAAAAGTCTTTCGTATGAAACG